TTCCTCTTGAGAAGAGTATTCCTTTTAAAGAGATCACATACAATATGAAAAAGTAAGGGATGAAGAGGAAGGGGAGATGATTTTAATTTTTAAAAAGATGAGTATTTTTAATGAAAATGATAAATGTTAAAAATATTTTCTCATTTTTCATGCCTCGTGTAGTTTTGTTTTGTACTATGTTACCGTGGGAACAAAGGGTGTGGAGATGTAGGAATTTGGAGGCTGACTCTTCACATAACCCTTCCAAGTATCTGCCATTTAGGTTTAGGTGCTTTCTGCAGAGGGAATGCTTCAAAGTAAAAACCATCTTCCTATTTAAGAGATAAGAAAACCTAGGTAAGTACTGTAAATTGAAATAAAATTATACGTATGGAATGCCAGAAGGAGAATTTATAAATCTGAACACCCTGCAGATGGGTCGTTTGTCCTCTGTCCTTGTGTCAGGTCCCATCATTCATGAGAACTGCTTTTTTTTTTTTTAATTTGGGATTCATTGAGGGTGCAAAGAATTAGGTTACACTGATTGCATTTCTAAAGTAATGTCCCTCTTATAATTGTGTCCTGCCCCCAAGAGGTGTGCCATACAGCATCCCCCTCCCCGCTTTTTTTTTTTTATTCATATCAGTAGATAAATGGTAACAGACAGGAGAATGAAGTAAAGTCTAAATACTCCATTTGCTAATTAGAGAGAGTTCTGAGGGGGGAGAATTCTTCTAAAATCGTAGTTAAAATGAAATGTGAGAATTTTGAATCACATTCATTTATTTCCTCTTCTCTTTCTCCTCCTACCTCATAATCAAATGTTAGGTAAGGGAATGCTTAGCTTTTAGTATCAGCCTGCAAGCCAAGAGTTATTAAGTTGATCTGTTTTATTTCATGGGTAAGAGATGTCTTTCTTCTAGCACTGCTTCTGTTCTCTGAGATTCTCAGATTCTGGCCACGTTAGGAAGAAAAATGGAGCTTTTGAAGTTTTTTTGGCAGAATTATGATAGGATCAGAATTGTGAATTGAGAAATTTTAAGTAGGTAGCACTTTCAGTGGAATTATGATAGATTTAAGACAGTGAACTAGGAAGGCAGAGGACAAAACTCAGTTCCTTAGTTGAGAAGTCAGTGCGGTTTCATTGTGAACGGCTTCAGTTGATACTCTCAGTCTATACATTTGAAGAACTTTAGTTTTCTACCACTTGCAAATAGGTTTTTCAGATTTCTAGCGAACATGAAATATTTATTCTTAACTCAAAAAGTTGTAATTCATTGCACTCAGGAAGCGTCCGCTCAAGTGATTTCTGGTCTAATAAAATGGTTATAAGTAGGAACATAGAATTCAGAATGACATAATGTCAAATCTTGTCCTCCAACCACTATCACGAAATATAAGCAGTCACCTTAGATGAACAGAAATACCAACATGATTCTCGTGCTTGCACATTGAGGTCCTTTGCTGTTTGCACACTTGTGTAATCTCTGTTAATTAAGAAAGAGCTACACAGAATTCCGTGTTTGACAGTAGGCATATTATTAACTGCCAGTACATACATATTGTAGAACACTTGGTAGGAAGATTGGCCGCTAAGCATATTACATGTGTTTTCTAAGAGTATTTCAGTAATCTGATGGGTTTCTTCCATTTCACTGGTTAATGCCTCCGTTAGTAAGGCCAGTAAGCAGGCAATATTTATAAATCTCATAAGGAATGTTCCACAAAATGATAAAGAAATAAAAGGGTTTTGTCCTGAAAGAGGCTCAATGTGACGTGAATTCTCCTCTGTGGACTATAACACAGAGCATGAGCAAATATCATTAGATGCCAAGAGGCAAACGAATGATTCAGAAGAGGCACTAAGGCATTTTGGTGGGAGAAGTCGTTCAGTGACCATGTGTCAGTAACAGCGTTTCTAAAGCAGTTAGAGAAAGTGCTATTTGCAATTTAAAGCATGTTTATGGATTTTTTCATAAAATTGGGAAGAAATCATTTAATCTTCTAAGGTATTACCCTCCTAAAGAATCAGTTACCTTATTAACTGTAGTTTATGTTTTCACTAGTGATGGACATCATTGCTTGCACGACTTGTCTTTGTGAAATTTATCAGTAGTACGTACAAATGTTGTGTAAGCTCTGTTCATCTATCCATTCTCTCATTTACCTAGCATGTAAGATGAAAGCATTTTCAGTATCAATAAATGAGTGCGTTGATACTCGTTTTCAGATATGTTCACAATGATCTGATTATAAAATTATGGTCAGTTTATTGTTAATTAAAGCCAGTATAACTGGAACTGTTATTGCCATATCTCTCTTTTATTTTATCATTGCTCAAATTTTATTAAGTATCTATCTGTGTTAGAGGCTCTGTCCTAAAAGAACAAACTTTTGCATAACAAATCCACATTGCATTTTCCAGAATGTATTTTAAATGTATTTGTGGCGGAAACATTAATGGGATTTGATTTCCGAAATCTCATATACCTGCTCCAGCAGCATGCAAAGAATTCCATATAAGGACTTTTTAAAAAGTCAGAGTATTTGTCAGTAAAACGGCACTTCTTTTACGTGAAAGACTTTCATTTAGCTTTGCAATGATTAATATCTATTAGGAAATTTCTTCTATCAAGCTCCAGAAAACGTTGCCTGGTTTTGTTACGTGGCCCGTAGTCAAAAGCTTATGATAATGTCATATCCTCTCAAGGTGTATTTTGTTGTGGTACAGTATATTGATTCAATATACTTACAGTATATTGAATCTAATGAGGGGAGACATGAAATGGAGACATCAGAGGTAAAGCATGGGCCATAATTTTTAGAGTGAAACTATAATGGTATAAAATTAGACTCTCTAGTTTTGAAATGCAAACATTGATATATTTCAAATATGTTCTTCAAATGTGTTTCTTCTCTTATTTTAGATTTATGGGTAAGGGTATGGCCTTTCAATTTCAAGTTCCAAATTTACAACACCATTTAGAAACATGACGAAGAGAACGTAATCGGTAGAGCATTGAATTAACTATGAATGTTCAGATGACATTACATCCTTTGGGTTCTACCATCAGTCTATCTTTTGCAAACTCTTAAATCATATTCAAAAGAGCTCCATGATAAAAATCTAGT